AGCGCATTTGTACATTCATTGCCCTCATCATTCTCAAAACATTTCCTCTCCACTTAAGCCCCCGGCATTAGGTCCTCATTTTCCCCTCCCTCCCTGTTCCCCCCTCCCTCAACCTCAATACAGTGAAGCTAAACTCTTTTTCTAGAGTGCACAATTAAAAAATTAAAGGGCTTTACATTTCAAAGAGGTTGGGTTTTTACATTTAAAAAAATTATTTTATCGGGAGCTCTTACAGATAACATAGCATTCCATAGTTCAATCACATTGGTGGTATTGTACAGTTGCCACCACAGTCATTTTAAAAACATTTTCTCTCTTCTTGAATTCCGTGATATCAGCTCCTCTTTATCACCTCCCTCCCCATAACTACCCCGTCCCAGGAACCCTTGCTTATTTACTTATTTGCCACATCTTATACCATCCAGTATATCTATTTATGTACAATTCTGTTGTTCGCTTCTCTCGAGTGGGGTTATACAGTCACCCGTGCTGTCAGCTCCCTCCTCCCCTCCTCGCCCTCCCTCACGTCCTTTTCTCTCGGAACAGTTATTCCTGCTCCTGCTTCAAAAGGGTTATCTATTTGGCTTTCATCTATCAAATGATCTTTTTTCCCTCAAGATTATCCAGAGTGTATGCATTTTTTAACTTTAATAAATCATTTTATTGGGGGCTCTTACAGCTCTTACAACATTCCATGCATCAATTGTATCAAGCATATTTGTACATATGTTGAAATCACCATTTCCAAAAGATGCTCTTTTTACTTGAGCCCTTGGTATAGGCTCCTCTTTCCCCTGCTTCTCTTCTCCCCACTCTGCCCCCTTGTGAATCCTTGATCAATTATATTGTTATTATTATTTTGTAACTTACAGTGTCCATTGTCTCCTTTCACTCACATTTCTGTTATTCCAATGATCTTAATTATACAAGTGAACATACACAAGTGTAACATGATTAATGAGGTAAAACAAAGAAATCCATAATACTAAGGGGAGGAAATATTAAAGACCTGAGGATAGTTATGTGTTTCATCAGTGCTGTACCACACCCTGGATTTATCATGCATGAGCAAAATGTGGTGGCCAAAGCTGATGATGCCCAGCGAGTCAAAGATATGGCGTCTGGAGTCTTAAAGGCTTGTATGCAAACTAGCAGCCCTCTAGCTCAGAAGCAACAAAGCCCACATGGAAGAAGCACACCAATCTGTATGATCATGAAGTATTGACAGAAAAAAGGTATCAGACGGTCAAAAATAAGCAACTAAATCCATGTGAAGTGGTGGGGATATAGTAGAGACCTAAAACCCACCTGTAAGATAATCACTCCCTTTCAGAAGGGGGCACATGGAAGGGATGATAAATTCAGGTTGTTTTAATTTTTTTTAAATTTCCTGAGAATACCTAAAGAGGTAATCCTAAATAACTACTCTGCACTTCTATACAATGGTAGTAACTGTTTTGAATTTTAACAAAATAAAAGATTCCATATTCAATTACATTTCTGTAAATCATGGTTGCATAGGGGAGGCACAGGGCTACAACTTTTAATATACTTTTATGGGTTATGAATCTCCAATAGGAGAAACTAGCTCTTTGAATTTTCTTAACATAATCCCCCATGAAACATTCTCACCACTGTTTAGTCCCAGAACATTTTTTAGTACCACTTATATCAGTTGTGCTACAAAATTTGATTGGGAATTGTCATTAGAAATTATCTACAAGGGGGCTTGAAAAAGTTCATGAAAAACTTTTTGAAAGATAATGGAACTCCCTCTAGTTCCTAAATGTTTCCTCCCCGCTCCCACTACCATGATCCGAATTCTACTTTGCAAGTCTGGCTAGACCAGAGGAGGTACACTGGTACAGATAGGAACTGGAAATACAGGGAATCCAGGGCGGATGAGCCCTACAGGACCAGTGGTGTGAGTGGCGAAACAGGGAGGGTAGAGGGAGAGTGGGTAGGAAAGAGGGAACCGATTACAAGGAATTATATGTGACCTCCTCCCTGGGGGACAGACAACCGAAAAGTGGGTGAAGGGAGACGTCGGACAGGGCAAGATATGACAAAATACCAATTTATAAACTATCAAGGGCTCATGAGGGACAGGGGAGGGGAAAAATGAGGACCTAATGCCGGGGGTTTAAGGGGAGAGAAAATGTTTTGAGAATGATGTACAAATGCACTTTACACAATTGATGTGTGTATGGATTGTGATAAGAGTTGTTTGAGCCCCTAATAAAATGATTTAAAAAAAAAAAGAAAGCTCCACCCCCACAAAAAAAGAGAAAGATAATGGCACTCTTCCGAAAATTTTGCAGTCCCTTATACATTTTCCTACTACTGATTTTTTTTTAAGAAATGGAAATTACATAATATGAAAAGCTACATGATAGTGAAAGGAATCTGAATATAAGTAAAGGCAATAGCACTTCATAAAAATTACTATATATTTGTATGTGCTAAGAATCATGTACAAGGCTATTCATTGAAATGTTATATTAGTGCATAGACTTTACTAATAATGAATATACAAGTGGTCCTCAATTGATCATGTGTTTCTTTTCTAGGATGGTTCTGACATTAAGTTGAATACATTATTTTTAAATTATAAGAAAATTTAAAAAGTTTAAAATGTTTATTATTATTGCCTTTTGTTATCAGTATTATTAGAAATCTGACCTTTATTTGTCTTTTGGGGTTAGAAACATTACATATAAACATAGATATTTTAAATACAAATACACTTACAGTGAAGAAATGGCACGGAAGCCCTCCCTCAACTCCTCTGGCTACAGAAGGGAGGGGGAAGGAGAATCCATCTTTATACGAAACAGAAGTCAAAATTCCTCCACCCTCCTGCATGGTGTACTTAATCTGACAGTAACAATCGTGCCCAGAGAACTCTACTTCTCTGCTACATTCGATAATCTTATGCTCTGACCAGAACTCCCAGACGAGACCCACAGTTACGGGATTTGTCAGGAAACTCATGGCTGTACACTGTGAAGAATGCCGTTCTTTTTTCCACAGTGCCTCTGCTAGGCCAGTTTGGCAGGCATGTCTCTCCCTGGTCTTCAGCCTCTCGATCACGTGATCCCTTTCCCTGCTGGGGCAAGTGTTACAGAAGCTCCATTAGCACTGACAAATGCATCCCACTGTACAAACCAGCCTTTTGCCCAAAGATACTTCAGGTTTACTTGGGTTTTTGGTTCAGAAAGCTCCACATTCTACTTCCAGGTCTTGGTGCTGCTCCTCTGTTCCCTCCCTGCACTGGGGTCTCAGTCATGCTTCATTCCCCAGTCATCTTTATTTTGGTCCCAGGATTCTCTGCTCCTACTTCTGCAATGGCTTACCTACCCAGTGGAATGGTACCACTAACTATTGCCCTCTATTAAGAGGTCCCAAACTTTATTTACATGACTTGACCCCATCATTTGATGGGAGTTACAAAGGCAATGGATACGAGAGCCATACCAGGTAATTTCACTTCACCGTATACATTTAAAAAATGTGCATCATAAAAATGTACTCTACCAAGGAGGAAGGCTTGTGATAATACCTCGCTCCTGGGAGGCTCTGCATCCTCTGGACCAAACCCGGGGGAGGTAGATGGTGCTTCTACTCAGGAAATTGGCGAGGATGGTCTGTATGGTCCTACTCTTTTTAAATTCATCTATCCCAAGGTCCTCTCACTGGACCCTGTGCATGGACATTAGCAAAGGGACTAGTTCAGTTCCATCGTTTCAAGCAATTGTTGTCACTCTTTCTCTGCACACTTTTCTCTTTTTGTCTTTTTTATATAAAATAAAAGACATGGTAGACCATATCACAGAGAACTGTCCTGTTCATCACAAGAAGTCTTTGATCTTAGTAAAAGTGTTGTATTATTGCTGTTGTTAAGTGTGATCGAATCGGCTCCGACCCATAGTGACCCTATGCACAACAGAACGAAGCCCTGCACAGTCCTGTGCCTCCCTCACAACTGTTCCTTGGAAAAATTGGCCAGGTGTATCCTACCCGAATCCCCTTGCAACCGATTGGCTGATCACATCAGATCACATCATGAGGATGAATACTTACACCTGCCAAAGCATATCTTTACGTAACTGCCAAATCATTGGGAATCTTGGCCCAGCCAGTTTGGTGTATAATTTGGATGAACACAATATAATTCATAAAGAACAAGTTTTGTTAAAATTTTTCTTACCTCTTTTTATTTCAAATTAAGAACTTAAATATTATTTATGGTCAGGCCTAATTTTAAAACAACAATTCTCTTTAAAAACAACCCACATTTTTTCAAGCAAAAATAAAAAAGACACCCTTAGACAGCTACATGTGGACATAAGTGTTGGTCTTCCAATAACAACATTTAAAATTAGGCTTTGGCTAATATATTCTTCTCTGCTTTGCTATAGACTGAGTCCCAGAAGACCATTGTATTACACGCACTTCAAGATGCTGTGTTGGAAGGGGACAAGCATTTCATAATACAGCTGATATCAATCG